GCCCAGCTATTTTTTGGTTGCAGCCGTCATTGTTGTTTGGCGGGTCCGGGCTGGGGATTCGAACCCGCCACCTTAGGTGTACGTGGCTGGTGCCTTAGCCAGGTGAGCTATAGGCGCTGAGCCCAGAGGCCGTATCTTGCTGGGGCCTTTAGGTCCCTTTAGGGTGATTGTGAACTTTATCTTGAGGATAAAAGGGTATCAATAAATGGTTTTAAATGGGAAATTAGTAGGGGAGCATCTTTCTAAATACGGTACTGTAAATGATGTAGAGAATAGGAGACTTGAGTTAGGAGGCTCTTGTAATTACAGTGAGGGTTGATCGCAGCTTGGACTTTTGGTATGACAGGGCATAGAAAGAAAAGGACCAGTCTGAGAGAGATTTATGAGGAAGAATTGACAATGCTCAGTGTTGAGACGTGTAGGTGGGTAGGGAGGAAAGGGGTTTAGAGATGACTCCAGTTTTCAGAGTTGAGCCATTGGTGTGGTGGGATGGAGATCCTGTTCACTGAGATGGGGATGGTGGAGGAAGAGCAGAGGTTGGGTTTGGATATAAGTTGAGGTACTGTCTTTTCTGTTGTTTACACTTTGAGGTCTTGTCAGACTCTTTGATAGCTTGAGATAAAACAAGAGGAGACTCATGCTTCACTTGGGTCTTTATTTAATTATACTTTGTTATTTTTCTCCTACTGTAAACCTGAAGATTAAGATACCTTAATAGTAACTGTGGCTCACTCTGTTTATAATTTTCATGAGGTAGGTTGAGAATCAGTAGAAAAGGCAAGCAGAAGATGTGTGTATGAAAGTTGGGAAGATGGGGCAGAGAGTGTCTGGTAGAGGGAAGTAGAAATAAATTAAAACCATACAGTGTTGAAAATCAAACTAATGTATATAGCATTTTTCTTAAGTATTTGATATGATCGTTTGGTAAGTGATTTTTTGAATTATGTAATTATAACAGTTTTCTTTCATTTCTTTGAAGGTTGTTTTGGAAACAGAAATAACGAATAAGTCTGCTTTGAAACTTTATGAAAATCTTGGTTTTGTTCGAGATAAGAGGCTGTTCAGATACTATTTAAATGGAGTTGATGCACTGCGACTTAAACTTTGGCTGCGTTGAGAAACTGACATCGAGGAACAACTTCAGCCACACAGAACCGACCTTTGCATGCAATGCAATTTGTACAGAATTGCTTTGCAGGGGGATTTAGTAATTTTCATGCAGCTCTTATCTGTCAGTGTCTCATTGAGTGTCGCACAATATTTGTTGCACTTTGGCATGGCACATTTGTTCTGAATTAAAAGAGATTGTTTTAAACTTCAAGAGTTCTTTTGGTACCAACAAGATGTGCCACTTGATAGCCAAGATTTGTTTGTTCGTTTGCAAAGTCTGCTGACAATGTTATTTACACAGTGGTCATTTTATCACAGAACCAGTAAGTGGAACGTGACTTTTTGTTCCTTAAAAAAAAGCCAATGTGGATTGTAAAAGTCATCACGTATACTAACATTTCACACAAAACCTGCCCTAGTTTTCTGAAGGGAGTGAGTGAAAAGCTTAAATTTTAGGTTTTTTCCCCCAATATTAAATTTTACATTCTTGAATATTAGTATCTCAGTGATTAGTGAATGAAAAAAATGTAGGGTGGGTTATGTCTTACAATGAGTAAAGAGAACAGATTGTGTCTCCAGTGCCTGTGTAGATAAGCATATTTGTCTTCATCTCTAGTTTTTGAATGCATGCTGTTTTTTCTTTAATGCCTTTGCAAGCAAACTTTTGTTTTTATTTAAATTCTAAATTTGATAATAAATTATTTCAGATTTTTATAATTTGGATACTTTTTCCAGGTAAGTGACAGAATGGTTTACTTTAGAAGTCTCCTCTTTCCTTACAGTAAGAAGTTGAATCTACTTGGAAAAAATTGTGAAGTAGCTCAAAAGAGATGCAAAAAGTTGATGGAGCCAGGAATTGCTGGGTTTTGGATGCACTTTTTTTTTGAGAGTGAGGGAATTTTTGGAAAAGAATAGAAAGTTAATGTAAATCGATCTGATTTTTATTTAATCAAAATTATTGCTAAGCTGTGAAGAACAGCTTTTACAAAGTAGCTGGAATTTGTTTATCCCCTTTGATCTGGATTCACATTGCTTCCATTTCTTAAAATGCTTCACTTTTGGTTGTTGGTCTTAGAAATAAATTTCAGGGTGTATTGTATCCATTTAAGCTGCTTTTATTTTGTTTTCTCTTGTATAAGGAAACTCTAGGGGAGCTTTGCTTTGTTCCTCCAGAAAAACAAAAGGGGGAAATGAATCTCTTTTTTTGGTATGAGTTCTATGGGTTTTCTTAATAGCCACCATGTTTATTAGTTACATTGTGTTTTGGCCAGTTAGTATAATGTAACAAATTTTAAAGTTAATTGCTCTCAGTTGAGTCAGTAAACCTGTGTTGGATAATTTATTTAACTGGAAAACCTAGGTACCCATAAGAAAAAAGATTCATTCTCTGTGAAAAATGTTGTTGGCATCTCTGTTGTTGTGTTCATTGAATATGCTTTACTTCTGCTCTAGGATTTGGTTTGAATTTTATTTTATGGCTCTAATTACTGTATTTAAAAAAAAATACCCTACCTCCGTTCACAGTTGGTAAAGGCCCCCTTTCAGGAGAGTTTATTGTTTCTTTTTTTTCTTTTTTTTTTTTTTTTTAAAGGAAAGCTGCTCCTTGCTCAGAATAGTGTTTTGAAAGTGAACGTGATTACAAGTACTTTTAAAATAAAGATGCACAATTTATATTTGAAAATACTTCCTGCTGATGGGATCATTCATAGTTCTTTATTCTTAAAGAAAACTATTTCTTTCCATTGTATGTTGCTCTTGAGAGTTTAATGGGCAGAATACTGGTTATGTTAAAAATAAAATGACCAAACAGTACTCAGCTTTTCAGCTGATCATTTTGTTTTTGGTCAAACTTCATTTGGGTTCTAGCATTTAGAAGACCAATCATAGTGATGTTTCTGTTCTTCTAATATGAAGGAAAAACTGAACTAAAACATTTATTTCATCAAATTTTATTTCACCCCTTTATATTTAACTTACTGGTTCATAGGTAATGGTTTATGAACATACATATGTGTGTGTGTGTGTATATATATTCTCTTGACTCACTAATGGGGACAGTTGAAAAGTAGATATAAGTGAGGTTATTAGTTCAGCCATTTTCATGTTTTTGTTAGGTTGTCAACAAAACCATCACTACTGATCTTTTCCCCTGTAATTGCTGAATTGACCTAACTGATTGGGCGTTTGTGACCTTAACTGATGTGACTAAAAAGTCAATTAGTTACCATGTTGTTTTACTAAGTGTGTATTTACTATCAGTGTAGACTGTATGTTTTTAACTGGGTATCCAAAAATTACATCTACTTTAAGTAGATTAAAATGTTTAATCTCTAGCATGAGATAATATCACAGGTAGAAGTCTCCAAGTTGTAGTATCAAACTTTAATTTACTTTTTCATATTAGGTTTTTATTTTTCATACAAGTTTAAAACCATCCCATTTGTAATTGATAGAGTGGGTTCACTTGGCTAAAACTGAGCAAAATTGGTGCAACTTTCTTTTAATGGGGTGCTGCCTCTTTAAGACTGACTGTACTATTCACTGACACTGGTTTGGCAGTTGGTACTGCTGAACATTTTATACATGCTAGCATGAAGCTATATATGTTAGTATTGAAGAAGCTAACGGGTATACTACCATTTTTGATGTGCTGATTATAATTTCCCTAACATTGGGATGCCACTACTTTAGAATAAAGTCCACAGATCTGAAACCAGGCAGTAGTTTTTGAAGTTGAAACCAGCAAAATAAGAAAAGCAGAAATAATTACTATTCAAAAATTGGTTTTACTATTTCCTGCCTCTCTTCCCTAAATTGCCCTCCCCACTTGCTCGACAAATCTGTGTAAAGGAGTTTGTTTGTCACATGTTTTAACCTTACCCTGCCCTGTGTTATGGTATTGGCTGACATGTATAGGACTGGATGTGTATATTTATTATGGTGTCTAAAAATCATGAAGTTCATCACTTTCCAGGAGCATAGATAAGTCAACTTGGTAGTGCATCAGAGTTACTGTTCAGTGCACCGTGACATCACTAAAATGAGTGCTATAATGTTGCAGGGCTTTCAGGTTTGTAAAGACATAACTATAAATTATATTGACGTCAGATATGAGTTGAGTATCTATAAAATATCACGTGTATCTCAAAAATATTGGACTGCTATTTGATGACTGGATATTGCTGCATAATTTTCTTCTATTGTCCCATATCATTTTGAAGAGAAAGATTTAATGGGATTTGAAATGTGCAAGTTGTCTAAGATGCAGTCAAATAAAGTATGGTTAAGTTGTGTTTGCATTTTTCTTTTAGATACAGCTGTGTGCATTTTATGATTGGGTTGTTTTGCTTTTCCTGCTAAGAAAAACAACAACAAGCAGTCTACTATGCCCCCACTTCCTGCCTCCCCTCCAAGAGTTACGTGGAAGAAGTGATTGTTACTGCTTTATTTTGTGTTCTAACAAAGTAGATTTGAAAGTAACATGAACTTGATTTTGCTAAAACTACTCAAGATTAGTCAACTCATATATCAGATATCAATACAAATGAGAGCATATTTGCATATGTTAAACCAACAGTTCATGGTTTTAGTTTTGTTCCATAGTGGTTTGTTTCTAAGATAGTTTTTAATTTATTACATTTTGTACAGTGCTTGCTGTAAGTAATTTTTTTGCCTAGCCTAAGAAGCCAAAGTAAATTTTAGAGCAGTATCTAAGGGCTTGCTTTTGCCTCATTCTGGTGAGGAGCTTTAAATAGTAGTTACGTATGCTTTCATATTTCAAGTTTGGGGATGTTAGTGCAGGGATGAGATGATCCGTTTTTAATATACGATTGCTACCTTGCTTCTGTTATGCATGACAGATCTTTTCTTTCTTATGGTGATGCTGTGAAAATAGTGAGTTTATGTTTTCTTGGGCCTTATGTGGAACGCTGACTGCCTCTTCAATTCTGTTTACATAAGGACCGGAAGGCTAACATTGTTTCATACCTGTGAACACACATCGGAGGTGTGGTGATGCTTTTTTTATAAGCAACTTTTAGAAAATAGTTCTTTAAAAATCTGGTGCGCACAGCATGGCTGCGCATTTAGATCACTGCTGTCCCCCAGTCTCACTTGATACAAGGGGTATGTTCTATGCACCCTCTGATACAGCAGTTACTAGCCATACGTGGCCACTGAGCCCTCAAGTGCGGCTAGAATAATTGAACTGAATTTTTAATTCATTTAATTTTAATCAGTTGAAAGTAGCTGCATGGCTAGTGGTTACTATATTGGACAACATAGCTTTAGATAATATTTATGCAGTAATAACTGAGGAGTGCATTTTTTGTATAGGATTTTTAAAATACACTATTAGTATTTAATTTATTGAAATATGAAAGGGATCACAATTCAGCTGTTTATATTGACAGTGTATTTAAGTAATACAGTGTCTGACCACCCCTCACCCCCATTGTGAGGTAGCCTTTCTGAGAACAGCTTTTTCAGTTTTTATTGTTCTAAGTTCTTTGGGTTACAGAGATGCAGATTCAAGTAATAAAAATTGGTTTCTGATGAGACTCATCTTTTTAGTCTTAAAACAGCTTGTGGGCTCAGCGCCTGTGGCTCAAGCAGCTAAGGCACCAGCCACATACACCTAATGTGACGGGTTCAAATCCAGCCCAGATCCGCCAAACAACAATGACAGCTGCAACCAAAAAATAGCCAGGCGTTGTGGCGAGCGCCTGTGGTCCCAGCTACTTGGGAGGCTGAGGCAGGAGACTCGCTTGAGCCCAGGAGTTGGAGGTTGCTGTGAGCTGTGATGCCACAGCACTCTACCCAGGGGGACAGCTTGAGGCTCTGTCTAAAAAAAAAAAACAGTTTGGGTAGTTAGGCCTAACAGTTAACTTGTTTCACATGAATTTGAAATCATATCACTTCTAAGTGAGATTAGCCATTTCATTTTATCAGTGGTAAACCTAGAACATGGATGTCTATTGACACCTTACTCCCAGCCCCCCTTTTAATCTGGAGGATGTCTCATGCTGATGAAGCCAAAGGCAAGTGTTTTTGTTTCGAAAAGAACTAGATTAATTTTGTGTTCCTGGCCACAGTCTGTCACCCTTGAGCCTCGCTGATCATCTTGGTTAAGTGTGATTTATCAAAAGAGTTAAGAGTAAGTAGGGATAGTAAAGGCCTGGGCACAGGGAGGGGCTGGCCTAGGGCCACCTGTTGTCACTCTTTGTGGGTGGTTGAGAGCACATGCTCTGTTCATGGCAGGACAGAACTTAAAACACCAAAAAGACCTAGAAATAACAAAAACCACCAAAGTGCCAAAATTTACCTTCTAATACCTAAAAAGTGTGTACAATACACTAATGAAATAGTGTATTAGTTTCAGTCTAATTATGTAAGTTTTTTTATAATGCTAAGAAATAAGGTTTTTAGTTATGATTTCTTATGATTACCTCTTTGCTGTATGACTATATCTCAATTTTTTAATACCTCAGTTTCCTGAGAATCTGTATGTATGTACTTGTAAATAAAATACTTGACCATATGCTAGGGGAAGGACCTGGCTTTTAATGAAATTGTGTAAATATATTTGTTGCTGGATTTGTTACATAGTCAATCAACTTAAAATTTCTTAAAAATGTTTATAGACTTTTCTGGTCCTCTTGACTGAGGGTTTTTAGTAAACATTTTTATTTTGTGAGGTTTGAATACCAGGAAGTGTGTGCCCTCATTTGTTCATTTACAACTGCAAAGATTTGTATGTCTCCTATGTTTGTTTTTCATGCCAAAGAAACTCACCTTTTTAAAAGCCAGTAAGTTGCGTGAACCAAGAAAAAAATATTTTGCCCCTTAATAGACATTATTAAGAAGCTTTATTTCTTGGGAGCTAAAGCCAGGGGTAATGATTTGTAAAAATGTGTATATTTCTAGGAATGCACTAATTCCATCAAAGTACTTACGTATTTACGGAACTGTGCTGCTTTAAGATCCACAGTTGCATGAAACTTTAAAAGTTGGTGTAACATATAAAGTAATTGCTGAAATTTGTTTATATTTGTAAACTGCTTGGAAGAGTCAATGCCCTAACATGTAAGGGGATTGGTCACTGTCGTCATTAGGGCCAGATTTCTGTGTTTGGACATGGTTATTGACCCGTGATTGTACGTGGGAGCTGAACCTGCTGCCTGCCTTTGATGCCTCCCTTTCTTGAGTGGTGGCTGTGAACAGTGACTCTTGGCACAATCAGCTAGCATTATACTTGATTTTATTGTGAATACAAATAAAGTTTGTGAGTCCACCAAGTATTAACTAGGTAAATGTAAACTGATTTCAAATTTGTATTTGACCAAGACTATTTAACAGCTTATGATAATATGGAAATGAAGTACCTCAGTACCGATGTGGACGTGGTGGTGGGTTATTATGGGGTCATTTTCCTCATATTAGGAAGTGATGATGAATACTCACACTGTTTATTTTCATCCTGAGGACAATGGGGGAAGTTTCTTAACCTCTCTGAGCTTTTTGTGATAATTACTTGATAAGTTTCCTGTAAAGAAAAAGTGAAATAATTTACCACATATGTAAATCACTGTAACAGTGCCTAGTAGACAAGTATGTAGCAAACAAAACAAATGGGAGCTATTATTATTATAGTACACATATAATTTTTTATTTTGATGTTGAATTTTGTAGCACCACGTAAGTGGCAAAGTCATCTAAATGTTCAACTAGGTCATATGAGGATAGTCCAGGATATAGCAAGTGAAAAGAAAACACTTGTATTTCCATCAACGACTAGTGAGAAGAGTGTCATGAACTCTTCCTTCCTGTACTTAACTCCCAAACCCACACAGCACCAGGCTAACCTGCCCCATTCATCCTGAGCTATATTTTATGGTAAAATCACATTAAAAAAAACAAACCTGATATCATTATCTTTTGCACACACGAGTTTCAAATACCTAATGTTTGTGGGTATATTATTATAGACACATTTATTGGGGGGGGGAAATGGAGCTGATAAATTTGGTGAAATTGCCAGTGGTGACTAAGGAATTGCTTAGGACAAGGGTTGGGTATTTGAGATATAATCAGCAAGTCATGACATAAAAGATAATTGGCTGAGCAGGTGAGAGATAAATATTGGGTGATACATGCATGAAATTTTAATAGAGATGATTAAGCAATGAAAATAGTTTCTGTGGAAACCTAAAGTGGGGCACAGATAAGCACAACCATATCAGACACTCTGATTATGGTCAGAAGGGGATCAGATGTGGAATAATTCAAGATAAATTCATTATAGCCATTATCTGAATCCAAAAAGAGGTTCTAAACTGCCAGGAATGTGTAGCATTAGATGTTTTTATGGGTTTTTGCTGTACTACAACTACACTGAATATGTTAGTGAGAGCAGCCAACAGGCCTGAACACCTTGGCACAACCTGATAGAGTTCACTGTGCTGTGGCTGATGTGGTTCTTGTAGGTTTGGGGATGTGAGCCTCTTGGTTTGGGGAGACCTGTGGCTAGGGCTCTCTTTTTGTTGCCAGGAAGGCAGTTGAGTGATGAATAGTAACAAATAGGCAGTGAGATTACCTTACACTTTTCAAAGCACTTTAACCTACTTTTACTCAGTCTTTACAAAGATGTTTTGAGGTGGAAAGATATTTTCATTTTGCATGTTGGAACACCCAATCTCAGAGTACTCAAGTGATGCCTTTTGAGACCACACAGCTGTGATGTGACCTGAACCCAGTCCTCCAGAGTCTCCTGGATCTCGTTTTCTTGCTACTTTCCAGGGTGTTTGGTGAAGCCCAAAGAGGTTAGAGCTCAATATGCCTAATTCTGTCAGATGAATTAGGGCTTTAATTAATCCTATTAAATTATTTAAATACTGTTGTTTTATTCAGCATAAAATGTAAATGTTCTCGAAATGTTTAATAGGTCTAATTTATAAAATCCATTAAAGGATTTTAATTTAAGTGGTTTTTGTTAACATTTAATTGGCTTCCAAAAATTAGGCCTGTAATATCTTTCAAGGAGACTGGGATTTATTTTTCAGAATGAGCTTTTCTTATGTAGTATTTTATTCTGTGAAAATTGAAATGAATAATCATATTAAATGATTTATGTTTAATTTTAGGTTTCTAAATATTGTGCTCTTAACACATAACTCTAGAATTGACATTTTAAAGGTAAAATTTTACTTTGTCACATTTCAAATAAGCCCATGGAAATACTTTTATAAGGGAAATAAAGGAGTTATGTAGGGAAAAACTACCTTGATTGTTAATCAAGTTTAAAAT